ATTGTTTGCTGTGCAGATTTACAGTGGTTGTTTCACTGAGCTTACTAGAAGACATCACTAAACAAGAATGAATAGAGAAGATCATGAGGAAATCAGGAAGACCCTGAAAAGAAATTGAAGAAAATAATAAATAATGTCACAATTTATCAATTCATGAAGGACCTGGGATTAACCATCCCATTAGTCAATACTCTAAGCAACAATACCTTAATTTTAGTGATGTAAAACTGATAAAATTCACAGTCAATATTACTCACAACTTCTCAGTTGTTCTAACCTTAACCTCAAAAAGTGTGAATGTGTCAAAGTAAAATGGGTCAACAGTTGGTTAATTTAAAAAGTGGAGCATTAAATAGAGACTAGAAATAGAGACAAAAAGGGATTTACTGAGTTATTGCCCCAATGAATGTCTAATTCTATATCATCAGAATTAATGTTCCATACTTTTATTTTAAACATTATTCTCTTTTTATTACTAAGATATTATCACTCATAAAAAAATTACCACCAGACAATTTTTTTCCTATTGTGATAAAGTCCTAACCGATACTATATGGAAATTTTTCTCTAAATAAAACCTTTTGACTCAGATTGAAAGAAGTATAATGACCTTCATTCTATTTCATGTTAACAGTGCTTGGTAGTGGGATTTATGGCTAAGGAAATTGGCTTGCTCTTTCAGGCAGTACCACACTGAAATAAAGCTAATATCAGACATGCTGTCCGGGCTGCCTGACTTCAGCTGTTTATTTCACTGGTAATTAGTAGAAATTGCTTATATTCTGCTAAAAAGGTCGTTCTAAGAAGAAATAGGAAACATCAGACAAAGAAAATATGAGTTGATCTCTGCAGCAGCAAGGATTTCTCTGCAGGAGATTGCACTGTGGCTTTCATTTTCACAACAACCAATGGGTGTTGCTATAGAAACCATACTGTTAACAAGCTAATGAAACAAGGCAGCCTTGGATAAATGATGAAACTGGAAGGAGGTGAATGGAAAGGCTGCAAGGTTTGGTTCTTGTAAATAAGCCTCTGGCTTTAAAATTGTGCCTGTCTCTCGTGTTTGTTGTTGTTTGTTTGTTTGTATGTTTCTTGCTCTTTTTTAAAATTAATACATCATGGATGACAAATAATCAGTAATATGAATAATGTAATAATTACAACACCCATTTCCAGGTATGTTCTCAGGAACGGTATGATTGAAAAATGAAATTAAAAGCAAGAATAAACTCATCCTTTAGAATTTAGTACCTTCAACTCCAAAATGATCTGAATAAACAATGAAGTATCTGCTAGCCCTAATGGATAAAAATACTACATATTCATTACCTCAGTAAGTGCAATCTATTTGAGAAGTTGAGGCAATATAATAAAAAGTAAGATATATCATCTCAGTCCAACTATTAAGGAAGAAATTAATTAAAAAGTATTTTAAAGTACATACTTAAATTAAAATTTCATAAAACTCCTTATGAAACCTCAAGCTCAAGTAGTTGAAAGGTATATTAAGTTTACCTTTTGCCTATTAACATTCAGGTAAGACAAAATATAGGAAATTATAACCAAAGTATATAAAATACAAAGTATGTTTGTCTGTCAAGTCCTCTAAAATTGTCACATAAAAATTTCCCCAGTTAATTTTTTTCAGTAATTTCCATCTATTGCATGCCTAAAGCACTCTTCCCAAAATTAATCGCTAAAGTATTTCTGTACATACAGATTGAAAGAAATGTAAGCAAGTGTTTATTGTTAGCACTACTGAAAGGAGAAAAAGAAAAGTTATATATCCTCCATTCTGCAGCACCATGTGTCCTTCAACAATCTGTAAATGCAAACAAGGCTATGTATCCATGCCCAGTGTCCAAACTATATAATGTGTAATAGCTTGATGCTTTGTTTCCTCATGGTGGATCTCTCATTATTTCTAGAAGTCCATGAATCAGTGTTCACACATGATAACAAAATAGTCCCCTATACTATAGCCAGAAGGTGAAGTGCATCATCTTATTTTCTATTTTTCTGGATGTCTATGTTTTCATGCTTATCGTCATAATTAGTCCTTACTATGGTTCCTGCTCATGGATCTCTTCACAAGATCCCAGAGCTCATAAAGTGGTTGGACAAATGACTTACACCTCAACTCCACACCTGTTTTAATTTATTAAATATTGAAATAAATGCATCATTGTCTATCCAAACAATTACTTTGCCACTGTGCTCAAAAGAAGCCCTAATTGTGGCCAAAGTTGCACAAAGTGCTGTATTTATAGACTCTATATCTAAGTTCCTACTGTAAGAAATCATGATGCTAGAAGAGTTATAAAAGAGAGAACAAAAAGAGTCAGGAAAAATAAAAAAGTAAGTGTATTGGCAAATATCTATAAATGAGCAGAGACTAAAATTAAAAGTACAAATAAGTGATGTTATCATTGGAGGTCTGGAAGACACAGGGGTGGATGTAACAATTACATCACAAGAATCTTGGCAAGCAAATTGCCCTCTTCAGGAGGTAAATGTTCAACTTTTAGGGATTGAAATTTTATTTCAAGTAAAAGAGCATGAGATGGCTTGAATGTATAGAGATAGAAGGACAGAGAAGAATATTAAAGCAATATGTTTCCAATATTGCAATGAATTTGTGGGGATGTGATTTGTTTTGGCAATGGAATACTCAGATAAACATTCCCCCTATCTTAGCAATAAACCACAAATAAACATATGGTTCTGGAAAAATTATAAGAAGGTTTTATAAAGAACATTCACTGAGCATTCAGGTTGTGCAAAAATAGGACACAACAACTACTAATCTTCAAAAGATACCAACAACCTACCTTTAAAATGACTTACCTACAAGCCTTCATGGATTGTGCAGTGGGCATTGTTTCTTTAGTATACATTGACAAGAAAAAGACAGATAAAAATTTTCATGGGGGGGAATGCCAAAGGGACTGGCCCATCTGACCAAGTGAATGTAGGGAGGCTGGCAGGGCGGGGCCCAGGTAGTCACTGCCAGGTGAATATGAGACAGAATTGGTATTGGTGGAACAGAAATTACAGATTGTACATGTGGATCATGTGGAAGGAAAGCTTAGCTGCGTTCTATTCATATGAACTCTCTAAACATTTCCTTACAGGAATTTTAATGCAGAGGGACAATATCGCCATCAAATGGATATTGTTATTTCGGAAACTCAGTAAAAAAAAATAAAAACTAATGTGGAAAAGCTCTCTGAGTTGATTCTAAAAGGAAAATCGAGATTTCATCAATTAGCAGGAATAGATCCAGCAGTACCTGCTACTAATGATGAAATTGACAAATTGGGGGTATAAATTAAACCCTGGCAAAGAATTTGTAATAATTTTGGGGGAGAGATTAACAACCAATGTCCCCAAAGCAAGGGAATTCAACTTATAAAGTGAACTGACTGGATTCTTACTCCCATTATATGGGCAACACAAATAACTGTAACCCCTACATTCTATACTTATGCAAATAAATCAGAAAAGGCAAGTTATAAATCTGAAAATTTAAGTAAATGGATCTAGATTCTTATAATTCTAATAGTCAAAATTATATGATATTTTCATGGGGTTAATGGATCATAAAGATGGAGAAAGAATTGTTTTTCATATTGAAACCTGATTTTATAGATGATACAGAATTGACTTTATTACTTAATTAGTTAAAAGACATAATCAGAAATAAGAGTAACCCTATGTATATAACACACATTTGTTTCCATATGGGTCAGCCAGGCCCTCTACAACAAAGAAATGATGAAATTGATCAACTACTGATAGGAAATGTGCTAAAGGCCTCAGAATTTCATTTAAAAAAACACCGTCTCAATGAAAAAGGTATAAAAACAGACTTTTGTATGATAAATCTTTCTGCCAAGCCACCCAAGCCCTGCCACCATGTGGGCACCCAAAATAATAGACAGAGTCTTATATTAGGTACAATGGTGCTGGCTAATGTCTAGGATATCTTATCTGCTATCTCAGTCTTAATTATCAACCATAACTACTATTCTATATATTTTATATGAACTTATTTTATTGAGGATGCTGACAGAATGCATCCTCTTTCCAGGATCACATGGTGACTTCAGAGAAGAGAGAGGAGGAAGAGAGTGATTTCCTGCTTGTCCCTGCTTATATTCTGAGTCTGCCTGCTGTGTCATTTCCTGCCTGGATCACAAGACTTCTCTTTACTAATTTCCCAGAATCCTCCTCAACTCCTACTCTCACCTATCTTGCTTCCCTATTGGCCAACAGTATTTTATTGATCAATCAATAAGAGAAACATATACACAGAAGGACTACCCCCATCAAACTTTTCCATCACTTGGCAACAAGCCAAAGAAATTGTAAAGAATTGCCCTACTTGTTCTTTATGCAACCAAACTCTACTACCTGCAGGAAGTAACCTAATAGTACTCAAAGAAATTATATGACAGATGGATATGTTCCATTTTGTAGAATTTGGAATATTGAAACATGTACACCCCAGTATTGATACCTATTCAGGTTTCAATGGACAGCTGCTTTGAGTTTGGAAATGTCTAACCAGTCAATAACACTTTCTTGAAGTTATGGAAATCATAGGTATACCTGCACAAATATAGACAGACAATGGTCCAGCATTCATCTCTAAGAAAATGAAGCAGTTTTTCCTTATTATATTATAAAAGATATTACTGGTATACCAGAAAATCCTACATGGTAAGCAGTTATAGGAAGATCAAGCAGAACTCTAACAGATATGCTAGATAAACAGAAAAGGATGATAAAGAACCCCAGAAATAGATTGCATGGTGCTTTATTAACTTTGAGTTTTCTGAAACAAGGAACAACAGCTGTGGAGAGATGTTAGATAACAGAAAAACTAAGGAATTAAATCGACCAGTATACTTTAAAGATGTCTTGACCTATGAATGGAAACCACAACATTTGTTATATTGGGGAAAAGGTTTTATTTTTTTTTTTTGTTTCCATAGGGGGAAAAATAGCTATGGATGACATCAAAATTGAAAAAGATTTCCTGTGAACAAGATACCTCTTAATTAGAAGAGATGACATTTCATCAAGCAACATGGCCATTTTATCCATTTGATCAGATATAACTTGCCAAAGGAGAACCTCTCCCAAATTTAGGGTTGGGAAAAGGTTTTGTTTTTGTCTTTTCAGGAGAATAAAGGTGTCCAGCTAAGTAATCCAGAGACCACTGGACAAATAAGACATCTGATGAAAAAGAAAAAAAATTATCCAAAAATTTTCCATAAGAAAAGGATTAAATTGGCCTCTTGCCATACTATATTTCCAACAGAATAAACTTTCACATCTTCTGTTTTTCTGGTTTTTGTTTCTGCTTTTCTCTACAGATATATAATACAAATGGTCTTTTTGTAGTCCCAGTCCAATTAAAGATTAAAGCTGGCTCTGGAGTTGGATTGTAGCTCTCTCCTTCTCTAAACCCCAGCATGTTTATTAATGTGAAATCCCAAATCTCTGTCTTTTGTCAGAAGAACCACCTGATTTGGAACAGAACAAAAACATATATTTAAAGAATATTGCATTGCTACTAATCTCATAATCATTTGGTTTTATACTGAGTTGTAACAGCTTTTCTTAATGGATAAACTATAGTGAGAGCCAATCCATAGTCTGTAAGGTTAAGATATCTTTATTCAGATAAACACAAGCGAAATGCAAGCCAGAGTGTGCCAGGAACCCCAGGGCAGGCAGGCCAGAGAGAAGGGCTCCCATGTGCCTTGCAGGCCCTTAAAAACCTATTATGAATCATCCTGCCCTCACCTTGACCATGCCCTTGCAGGCGTGGTCAGGCACACCTGTAGCCAGCCCATAGGGGGTGTGGTTATGAAGTCTCAATACAATTCCCCTTTTAGTCTAAAAGAGGATTAAAACTTAACAGTGTAAAGTTTCCATAACTAACAATCATAAAAGTGAGACACAAGAAGATACAGTAATCTGTTATGGCACATGCTAACTGTGTCTATTTCAGCTAAACCCTAAAGTCATCTGAAAGGTGGTGTCCAAGTCTGAATGCCTCCTTCCAATCCCAACCATAAACAACAGTAAGTTATCCCTAACTAGGCTTACTCTACCCTAATTGACAATAATGGGGGATGGGGGCATAGCATCCTCCCAGTTACTTCCTGCTGAAATGGGATGATGGTAGCCTCATGGGGTCCTGTGGGTAGAAAATGTTAGTATGGTGAAAGTCTGTAATGGATTATATCCAGTCATTAGAAGGGATTGAAGACCTAAGTTGAAATCCTCAACTTGATTGAACTCTACTCAAAGCTGTGGTCAGAGTGTCAGTTGAAATGGAGTAAGTTGTATCCAATGCAGTCTAGGAGGTATGGCCCAATTTCTTTCCAGAGCATTTAGAGATTGCTGTCAGGCAGGTCTTCATTGGGTGTGTGGGACTCAAACGTAAGTGTAAGCAGAGAAATGTTTACTTGTATATGTATGCATGCTGGAAAAGGCAATCGTGGAAAAATAATGATTATGAGACAGTGTATATCTTGAAGGAAAGAGCCAAGAAAGACAAAGACAGTTCCCAAATTCTTCTCTCATTCTGTATTACATTAATTGGCTTTTTGATATAATACAGAAACTCTAAAGTTTAGTTAAACAACGTGCTTGGATTTTAGAGGAGGAAAGCCAAATCCAACTCTAAATTTGCTTGAATAGGGACTAGAAAAATAAAGAGAAATAGAGTCATTTGAGAGACAGCTGTAAAGTTTACCATATGGCATGCTCCCTTTGTTTGAGGGCTATAGCAACCTTCTCTTCTTAAGCATCTATCCATGTACTGTTCTTGGACTTCTGGAGATGAGTTTTCCTGTGAAGATAGAAGCAGAACACTTTCCTTTCCTTTATGAGGTTTCTATCCCATTTATGAGATATATCTCAGTAAAATACCTGTCACTTGTCCTTGTCAAGAGGTTTGCCTTTTTCAACTTGAATCTTGATCAACTTTGATGGTATCCAAAATTTTTCTTCTCCTGTGGAAACAAATGCAAAACCCCTACCCCAATATAACACATGCCCAGGCCTTCATACATCTTCGAAGTATACTGGTTGATATAGTTCAGCAGTTTTTTCTGTAGTCCAGTGTCTTTCTGTAGCTGTTTGTCCTTTTTTATTGGCACTAAGAAATCTTAGTGTCAATAAAGTATTATGTAACCTATGTTTGGGAGCTTTTGACTTCTCAGCCTGTCTATGGAGCATCTCCTTAAGTGTTCTGTTAGATCTCTCAACCACTGCTTGTCCTGTAGGATTGTATGGTATACCAGTGACATGCTTTATGTTATAATATTTGAAAAACTGTTCCATTTTGTGGAGACACATGCCGGAGCATTGTCAGTTTTTATTTGTGCAGGTATACCCATAACTGCCATCACCACTAGCAGGTGTGCAAAAACAGAATCAGCTTTTTCAGAGATGAGAGCAGTAGTCCATATGTATAGTATGATGCACATATTTCAAATTTCCAAATTCTGTAAAGGGAAAGACATCTATCTGCCAGATCTCATTCCTCTGAATGCCTTCAGGATTACTGCCTGCTGGCAGTGGATTTTGGTTATAAAAAGAACAAGTAGGTCAGTTTCTCACTATCTCCTTAGCTTGTTGCCAAGTGATGGAGAAATCCTTTTTTTAAACCTTTGTTATTTACATGATGTTTCTTATGAAATTCTGAGGCTTCTAGCACACTTCCAAGTAACAAATGATCAATCTCATCATTGCCTTGTGCTAGTGAGCCTGGCAGACACATATGGGATCTGATATGGGTAATGTATAGAGGATTACTTCTGATATGTGTAATGTATAGAGGATTACTTCTGTTTCTGATTGTTTCCTGTAATTGTAGAAACAACGAGGTTAATTCTGCATTATCAGGAACAAATTATGCAGTCTCAATGTGTAAGAAAACTGTCTCTGCATATTGGTAATCAGTAACTATATTAAAATAGTTCTGTAAAATCCATAAGCACCATGAGAATTGCATATAATTCTGCCTTCTGTACAGATGTATATGGACTTTGAACTACTTTACTTCCCTCACTGCTGTGGAAGCAGCCTTACCTGATTTGTTGGCATCAGTGTAGAAGGTAACAACTCCAGAAATTGGAGTTTGTCTTACATTGCATGGAAGAAACCAGACTGTCTTTTTTATAAATTTAATTCTGTCAATTTGGGGACAGTTGTTGCTAATCATTCCCAAAAAGTCAGTAAGAGATATTTGCCAATATTCATTATCCTTCCATAAGGAGGAAATTTCTTCCTTAGTTAAAGGTACTATAATTTCTGCTGGATCTTTTCCAGTCAGTTGACGAAATCTTAATTTGCCCTTTAAAATCAAATCATTAATCTTTTCTATATATGTATTTAACTTTTTATTCTGTTTATGTGGCAGAAATATCCATTTCAATAATGTGTCTTCCCTCTGCATCAGAATTACAGAAGCATATTCTCTGGTTGGCAAGATAACCAGAATATAGTCTGAATCAAGGTTTATCTGATCTACAAGTGCACCCAATATTCTGTTTTCTACCCATTATAGTTCTTTTTCTGCCTTGGCAGATAATATTCATGGACTGTTTAGGTCCTTGTCACCTTTAAGAGCCATTTTCAAATGCCTTAAGTCATGTCCTTTTACCCCAATATTGTCTGTAATTGAGAAATTTCTCCTAGCAGCTTATGAAGACTATTAAGAGTTTAATAACGATCCCTTGTAATTTGTACCTTCTGTGGCCTGATTCTTTGTAAGTCTATCTTATAACCTAAATAGTTAATAGAATCTCCTCTTTGTATCTTTTTCAGGGCAATCTGTAACTCCCATCTAGTCAGAACTTCCTTCACCATGTCAAATATATGTCCCAAAGTCTCCTTGTTAGAATCTGATAAAAGAATATCATTCATGTAATGATAAATGAGGGATTGTGAAAACTCTTAATCTCCTGCTGCCTTTTGAAACCTCTTGGGATAGTTTCTCCTGCCCAGACTGCAGCATCTTGTATATTATAGTCAATGTGGGCTGTATGCAAAAACCCATTCTTCTAGTGGAGCTGATCTGATTTTTAAAGGCAAAAAGTATTCTTTTGCATATTGGGTTTGCATTGTCATAAGCTACTGTATACACAATCTAATGTCTTACTGCTGCATCTGTTACTTGTAATTCTACTGCCCTGGTCAACTGGTCTAAGAAGTCCTGGAATAGTTCTGTTGGTCCCTTTTCTACTTTGGTATAAGCTTCCAGTTGTTCCTCTGTCTCACCAACCTTATCCCAGGCATTTAGTGCTGCTTTCTTGTATAGGGACAGTATATGGTCATCATATTCAGCATGAACCTGTGGGTCAGCATAAATACCCTCACCCAGAATCTTCTCCAGTAGAGCGTCATAACTGTCCTTAATGGGTTGATGTTCAAGAAGCTTCCCTTCCTCCCTTAATGACTTCCACTGGATTTGACAAGAATTCTCAAGTACAGCTGAAACAAGTGCTACCCAATATGTGGGCGTCACCCTGTTAAAGGTTGCCCGTGAGTGTAATAGCTGTTTTATGTATGGTCTATGAAGACCAAATGAGACAACTGATTCTTTAATATGCTTAAGATCATTCACCTGTCCCTGGGGGTGTTTTTTAGTTGGTGGCTCTTCTACCATTGTTGCTGGGTAGACCAATGGTGTACACATAATAACTTTAGAATGATCAAGATACCTGGGTGGAGTAGTTGCCTTGGATTAGATTGATTCTGTCTCCATGTCATCCCAATGATCCTTGAGTCTCATAATGATATCCTCAAGAAAAGTTTCAATCTCCTTAATCATAAAAGATTGTAGGCATGATAGTGAATCCATAAATTGCTGTGACTGTTCTTCTATATGGTTTTCTAAGTGTTTAATACATTCATCTCTAGCTAGCATCTGGGTGGCATGGAAACTGCCATCCAGGAATTGAAGTTTAGCCTTGAGGTTGTGATTTGCCCCAGCAATCAACTTGATGGACCTTTCTAATTTGTCAGCCCTGTTCTGTATATCATCTTCCAAATACTCAAACCTAGATTTAACTCTATTATCTACTCTCTCATGTTTTTCAGACATTGATTTAATGACATTATCCAATTGTTTAAACCTAACCTGGGTATATTGCATTCTAGTATCCAGATTACAGGATAGAGAGCCTATCTGAGTTTCTAGTTGGCTACCAATTTGCTTTAGTTCATCACGGTCTCTGACCACTTTGCCTGTATCGTATCAGACATAGAGCAAAGCCTATCATCTACCTTCTGTTTTACATGCTGCATAAACTTATCATGGGTCA